CGAAATGTGTGGACCTTAAATAACAAAGGTTGTTATTGACCAATTAAAGAACAGTTTCATCGTTTTTAACCGACCGTCAACAATTTTGAAAAGGTGCCCTAAAAACTTAACAAAATAATCACAATTTCGGTTCATTTTTGACCACCTTTAATATGAACAAAATCGCCTTTCAAAAGGAGGTCAGGTGATTTTTTTGTGAAGTACGGTACTTCAAACTGTCGCAGGGCTTGCTTTGGATACCGCAATTAAAAGCCCCGCCGACATTCCGCAAAAGTGGTATATTTGACGATCGGGAATGTCCTCCACGTATCAAAATCATCGTGACCAATATCAACACAATATATTGCAATGGAAAACACTATCCGTGCTACTTAAGCTTGCCTCAATAGAATACGAAAACACCATGCTGACCATCTCGTAAACCCTATGTCTCACACTAGAGCTAGCGCTATCTCATGTACGCGCCTAAAGCACATCTGCAATCTATCTATAAGAGTTAAAACTTAATTGCCAACAAAATTTGAATAAATCCATTACTTTTGGCGCTCTAACAAGGCCATGAACAAGATGACATCATATTGCCTATACGAATTTACACCAAACAGCACTTCACGCGATCAACGACTAACATTTTTTAACGTCAATAACTTTGACACTTTAAAGAGTGCGGGTACTTAGTAGTCACTCAGCAGTCGATAGGTCACTTAATTTGGTTAAGGTCAATGTCTAGCTCTCGCATCGCTACTGCTTTTGCACTTCAATTGACCAAGCAGATCAAAAGGTGCGCTCAATATTTATGCAATTTTCACATCTTCAAAGGTTGATTGTATGCGATGCGAGTCACATCTTTGAGTAATTTTTTAGAACGTCGCCCCTTTTTAGGAGTCGTGTAAGCCATGTCAAGCGCGTGCTGAAGGGTTCTATTCATTACACTGTAACCCCGCTCTACCCGGCCCGGGGATTGAACATTGGACCTCCGGGTTCTAAAGTGAACAGCATTCCACTGCGCCACACGATAGATTGATCCGCATCTTTGGGAAGGCCCTCGATGAGAACGATACTAACTACTGTTAAAAAGATGTCAGCCTACATCTCTGCTATTGAGATTCCTAACCCTCAAATATAGCCAACACATTCATTTTTACTTTGACAAAATAGGTTTCGAGCGCTTGTGGTAATTATCAGAGGAACTTTAAGAATTCTCGATATCTGTCGCTTTAGCATTGAAAATATGTCCTGCTTAAAAAGGGGCAACTTCTTGAGCGCAATACAGGATTCTAATATTTGCAAAAATTACAAGCTGTTTTTTTCTCTGCTTACCCCAAACTCAAGTCCATGTCTATATTAATTATTCGTGTCAGTAAAAGGGGATTTTTTCAACTTTGCCCTTAAAGATCTTAGCATTTAAATGTAGAGAGAAGTATTGCTAAAGCCCTGTACGAGCTGATGGTATTTCTTCCGACGTCTGATTGAGCCCCGTTTGGAATTGTAACATATCGTAGCTGGTGAAAAGCTTGAGGCGAACGGTTTCCCTATTGGGGCTTGGCAGACAAAATGTGGTACGCAATATATTCGCTTACTATATACTTACGAGCTGTACGGTGCCGTGATCTACGCGGCAGGGTGTCGCAATATAAACGAGCACATAGTGCACAATTTCATCCGGGGGGAGCGAATGAAAAAAATGCATCTTCATTAACGGACGGATCTGCCGTATGTATCTCGATGACGACAAATTCTTCGAGGCTCATAGAGACACAGTGACCAAGAATGCCCACGGCTGCACTACCGAAAATAGCTTGTAAATGATCGGGTGTTTGAGCCACCTTTCTCATCCGTTCGATGAAACATGCGGTCGGTAATGAAGAGAATTTATAATGTGTTATATGCTCTCGAGGGTAAGCAGTGAAAAGGCAATGTTGGCAAACGAACTTCCGCGATGATAAAGGTTGCAGCGTTACGCACCTCACTGCTTCCACCGATCTTGCTACTAATAGCTGGATTCAGGCTGCCGTTCAATAGTGATGAATTAAAATTATTGCCATTGTCATCAATGATGACGAAAATTGCAGGATGTCATTTCATGCTAATCGTAGTGAAATTTCGCTAAACGTTCACAATTTAACGATGCCTTAGATAACAAATCCACCGTGATGTATTGGGGTTAAAAAGGGGGGGTGATGGGGATTTATTTTTATAATAGTTAACATACACATTACACCATTGATCCCGGACTGAGGGCAAATGCAACGAGCATACCTTGCACCTTGCGCAGAAGACTTAAAATATTCGCATATTGAAACAATCGAAGGTGGGCTCGTACTTCATTCGGGAGCTTAACTGAGAATTAAGCGTAACAAAAAACGCCGGTTGCTATTTTGAGAGAGAAATATCGTTGAAGTTAAGTCTACTTAAGTACTCTTTACTCTTAATGTACCCATTACTGAGACTTTGCTATCTACTTGGCATCTGGCTAACAGCCCACGTGTAAGACGAATCTCTCCATTACGGAGTCACCTTCATTTTGCAGAACCAGTACTTTGACACTACAGTAAACAGCAATATAAACGTGGTCACGCGAAACTCGAGCAATTGTACAATGTAGTTTTTAGCAAAACTGTACAGAAAAGAAAGTGTACTTACGCTGTAAAACAGTACAAAATCATTACTCCTCTCGCACCAACATGTGGGCCACAAAGGGGCTCACACTTGTTCTGTATTCTTAAACCAATCAAAAAACTCATTGATCAGCAGCCACTAATCTTTTCTTTGTTTTACAACACTCCTTGCACTCTACAGTGCCTGATTTTGAGCGCATATTTTTTGTACCGGGTAGCCTATCTGTTATGTGTAAGCACACGGCTAAGTAAGCCTTCAGGAAATGCGCTGTTCTTGCCACCAACAACCTTGATGCAAAACTCAGAAAGTCGCCAAGGTGCTCCGTGATGAAAACAATCTTGGCGACTTTACAAGTCATGGCCAGACACTTCCACCCTTACCTGTAGACATCCAACTTGGCCCGTCTACAAGCAGATAGGTCACACCGGCTCTTGTCGAACTTATCGTATCGAAATTACGGGTCAAGCCATTTCTTTTTTTGTCATCTGCAGTGGATATCTTACATGCCCATGCGAGCAGATCTTGCGCTATTTCGAGAGCAAAAAAACAAGATGTCGGTCTGCGAGTGTTTTCGACCCCACAAGTCATTCTCCTCAGGATTACCGCCTACGCTTGGAGCTTCAACCTTTAGACCTATCCGTACCCTCCATGTGGACTGAACGTTGGATCGCCATGGCGATAAAGCTGATGGGCGTTGCACTCAGTCTAACACTGGATGAGAAAACCGTTTTGTATTACCTCCACAGTCTTGCAAGCTAACTTTAGTGAAGCAAATTTGAGCGTTGTTTGATGCTTGGCTTAGCGAGGTGCAAAGCACATGAATGTCAAGGAGGTAATTCATCACCGCTACCTTCTTTCTGGCAGCAGTCCCGCTAATCTTCAAAAGGCAGCTGTTACAGCTACTGGCTAAGCATCAAACTTGTAAGAAGGTCGGTTAGTACACACCGAAGGGGGAGGCGCTGCGACGGACGATCAAGTCTTTTTTCCAGGGAGATTTTGCGTCGAATCATGAGTGGCCACGGCCTCAAGACATTTTGTCCGATGAAAGGCCAAAACGCTCATGGGCTTTTGAATGGAGGAACCCGTTTCACTTTACCGCAATCTTAAATAAATCCTGGTACACCCAATCGGCCCACGTGGTAGTATGCCCCACCATGTAAATCGCCACTGCCCTTTCGACGGCTGGCTATCAAATGCTCTCTGTTGCGGCGGCCAGTCTCATCGCGCCAAAAAGGTGTGCATTTGGCTGAAGCTGATATGGATTGCTCTTGTCCCCTGTTTGGGCTAAGCAATGACACTGCGTTTTTCAGCAGTTTAGAATTGTGTATCAAAGGTTTGCTTAGCTACAGACGATGATAAATACAATACTTTGCCTCCAACGGATTTCAGCACATTCTACTGGCATGTATTGTGATGTGGAATCAGCGCGTCCGCATTTAGGCATCGATCATGAATTTCTGTCAATGAAAGTGAACCTCAACCTTTCGTTTTGTAACGACAGTGTCCGGAGTGATGGAATAGGGTCGCGACTTTGTCTTACAGACCGTTGAACTTTGTATTTAGGTAAATTACCAGCCTTCAAGCGAACCTTTTACCGGACTGCACCTTAAATCATCTTTTACCTGTCTGTTGCTTTTGAAAATTTTCGGATCTTCATTTTTCTCCTGCCTCTTACTTTTTCGTTTGGATCTCAGCTAAAGTATTGCACACAGCGCGAATAAAGCTCAATCTCATTGAAAACAGTGCTTGATTTGCTACGAAGTCTAGCCGGGTTGCTAATAGCAAGAATAACTTATTTCACACACCAAGGCCGGAGCCACTTTATGGCGGTATCGAAGAATCTCTAGGGTCAATCTAGCAAGAAATAATCATCCAAAATCTTGCAGGGGTATACACTGTGCTATTAAATGCAGACTTAATGCGTGAGGACAACTCGCTCCAGCTCCGCAGTCTCTCCGTGCATGTTTCCAAAAAAGATCTACACTCACGCGTGTAACGCATTCCATATAAACATCTGACTGCGAGTAATTAGCTGTTGTCATGCTGAACAAAGTCTGGAAACCATTGTTTTAAAGCGCAGATTTCTATTGGCCTGTCAAGCCAAGTTGGCGAAACGTTTTGTCGCGAAACAGCTAAGCCACATTTTCTTCGTTTACATTATCGCTACCAGCGAGGACACGAACCATCTTTCTTAGAGTGTTTACAAGTCGGGATACCGGACGAGGTTTTTGGAAGATTCAAAAATGTTGATCCCTTCGCTTTTTGAAACTGGCGTGCTGGAGAAAGGAGCCGTTCATGTGATAATAACATTACTTGCTGGCACGCCTTTCATGTGCACATAATGTGGTTCCTCACAGGCACTTATTTGCGCACATACACTGAAGCGCCGCTCGCAAGTGTATGATACTTTTTTCGACATCCGGTTTTTAGTTTTCTTCACGAACACGGACGTATCAAACATCAGCATTGGTTTGTGCATGAATTGGCAAGAACAACAGCGTCACCCGACGGCTGAACGCTCGTGCATAAGAAAGTTCCAGTAAAAAATCTCACAGAGCATCCCGCTCGGAGTACTCATTGCAATAGGAGAGATCATGGTGTCGATGGTAATCATCGACTAAATCGAAGGACGTGGAGTCTTGTTGATCTGCAGCATATACTATAGCGGAGCCGGCATTTGCAATAGTATTTTGGCAAATATGGCTTTTATAAGGCATAAACAATTCGATATATGCCGATACATACAAAGTGACGCCGAAAATATATATACTTTTTTCTTGGTGAAATTGCTTCATACTGTGCGAGGAAGAAAGTGTCACTGGCGTCACAATGTTACCTTGGAAAATAGACATTGCTGTACGTCGCAATATTTGTTCCAAGAACTAAGTCAATTTTCAATGCACTTCCCTATGCAAGGATAGCTCGCTTTGCGTGTCTTTTGCCACCGCGTCGCAATATTTTTACAACAAAGAATAAAACTGTTCTGAATGATGCTTGAATACTCCTGATACATTGTCCTCAATGACGGACTAAACCCTGAGGATGACGAGCTCAGACTTCCTTGTCCTAACTGTTCATACTCGATTGCCTTACCGTCTTAATATTCAAGATCTCTCACAGAGGAAGCGAAGGGATTACCACAATCGCACCGTTCACAGGTATATTTTTTCCCGCAGAACCAAAGAGCAAAAGCTCCGTATAACACTCATCCACCAGGTGCTGCTTATCCAACTGTAATGTCACATTATTGCAAGATAAAATCAACCATCCACTAACCAGGTCTGGCCCTTATACTTGTAACTTATAGTCGCCTTTCAACACCACCGAATCTTGCACGAGGGACTACGATATCCAGTTCCTTACTCTCCAATAGCTCTGACATAGGAGATATCACCGTATAGCTTTTATTTACCATTGCGCCCGAGATAACGTCTGGACCGTCGTTAATTCTCTTCTTATCAGCAATAGAAGATAGATACGTTGCTATTCAATTGTTCCCTTGGCTAGACCTAGGACCACCGCTTAATGCGGCTTACGCCTTCCGACCGCTACCTCAAATACTCATCAATAATGAGTATTGCTTACTAGACAAGTCATCAATTTTATTTTAACCCAAAACTATCATAGCTTCAAACCAGCATCAGAAGCCTTTCTACTCCGTTGAAAATTGTTCATCACTCACTGAAGCTTTATTAGATAACCATTAGAATTGAGAACACGCGCAATTAAAATTAAACGGTCGCCTCGTTTGAGGCTCGCGTATCTAAGGCACCGTTACGTCCCCAGGGCCTTCGTCACGCATTCTCGGCTCAATGAGCCCTGTGTCTATGACACGAAAAGCTCCCAGCTTTGCTGGTTCTGAGACCGCCCACGGGTAGAGCCTTTCTTCGTCTCCTGCACGCGGTACAACTCCGGGCAGTACGTCCGCGGCTCTACGGGAAGCACGTCTTAAGCCCTCGGCAACTGGGCACCGCACACCGAGTCCGACATAGGCGACACATCTCCTCGTCGAGGTTCCGGGGGATGTCGACTACGAGTCGGATCCTCCTTTCCCAGGATGACAAGAAGAGGAGGGCGAGGTGTGCAAACGGCGCGACGTGGGCCCTAGTCGAAACTTGCGGACACCGTGTCTGTTTCCGACCTCTCTTTTTTTTAGGCAAGGGGTGTTTTAGCAATTGTATTGACAAGGCAAGGAGCAGCAGTTGGAGGCTGCACACACATGCGCTCATTTCCACGTTCAGTCTCTGAGCCAAGTGAAGAATACGGCTTCCACACGTCGACTTCCGCAACTAAAGCGAAAGCCACGGTCACTCGATCGTTAGGCGTCTACAAAGTCGCTCCCCGGTCACTACACAAGCTGACCATGGACAGCGGAAAGCTCTGCAAGCTCACTTTTTGATACCACAACAGATCCCAATGGGGTGGAAGCGCGCTCGACCTCAAGCTCAAAAACGAGGTGCTCCTGCTCCCGCATTGCGTTTTTTCCGGTGGTGGTAGCCCCTGCTGAAACCGCTGCAGATGATAATAGGCTCTGTGAGCGATAAATGTAGTGAAACCAGAAACTTTCCTAGCTGTCTTACTTACATCGGAGCCACATGGAAGTGGACGTGCGCGTTGAACGCCATCTTCGATTCGAGTTTGTCAAATTTAAGGCACAACGCCGATTTCCTACGTATTGTCGCCCTGCGTCATATAAAGTACTCTATCACGCCCCCGCGAGCTCTGTAATTTCTTAGCTCATGACTCTTCGGCTTCCCGGGCTACTGCGGAGAAGCGCGTAACGTACGACGAGGCGAGGTGTCATGATCCTTCTGATCATAAGTACCCACGACGTCTGGGCAGTCTTGCCGAAGTGGCACCTCAAACCCCCACAATTTCTCGGAGTTTGGGTGTCCCCGCCACTTCACAAGATTTTGGGTTCGACCCAAACGACGCCTACGACCAACAAGACGCTCCGCGTGATAGAGGACGTTACCATTCTCGTCGAGAAGTGTCGGTGGTAGATGATGACAACCTGGTCGATCGCCGTCCGGTGACTCGCGATGGCCTTCGAGCTCTTGAGGACAAAGTCCGTCGTCATCGCCATTCCGTTAAGCTTCTTGCCGAGGTCGCATACCGCTATGCGGTAGACCACAAGATCCTGGAGCACTTTGTGCACTGACTGTCTCACGTTGAAAATTATCACGCTCTGACGGAGCGGCTCCTTACCGTCGAGCAGACGAATGCGTCACTTTGTGCGACCTTGCGCCGTTAATAATGGAAATTGTTGCATCCATTCCCAGAACCAGATTCTGGGTGGCCGAGTGCTTTTGTGCGCCGCCCCGGCACCAACGCTTTCGCGTTCACTTGCACCGGATCCAGGTACAGCAAGCCCACATAAAACACCGGGTTGGTGCGCATCCTTCTCGGAAGGTGTAGCGTACACGCAAGGCCTCGCTTAGCCACGACCTTAGGAGGTCCGATAAACCACCTTGGACGGAACTTTGTCTAAAAGATGGCAGAGGATGCATGGATAGAAAGGGTTTTAGCATTTATTAATAAAACCAGATCTCCGACCTCAAAGTTTTTAACATTTCGTCTACCTCTTCTGTCTGATATTTCTTCTGCATGTCTTGGCTTTCAGCCATAGCATCGCGAACGTGTCGTAAGACACTCAGTCTAGTAAACAGGAAGTCATCGACTTTTTGACAAACAGTGAAGGGAGTTCTAGCCACTCGGTTATTCCTCCCCTACCAGGCCCTGAGCTATAGGATGGCGGCGTCAGCGGGACGCGAAGATGAACGAGTCCCTGTACGAGTAGCCGGTAGACGAATGCACTGCATTGTTCAGAGCGAACTCCAAGAATGACAGCATGGCGCTCCAGCATCTCTGAGTCTCAGCGAAGAACGTCGTCATCGACGCAATTCACGCGCTCAGTTTGACCATCGGTCTGCGGATGGTCCGCTGTTGACATAGTCAACTTGGTGCCCAACACCCTTAAGATCGCCAACCAAATCTACCAGTGAAGCGTGAGTCTATGAGAGCGACAATCGACTCCGGGATGCCATGATGCCGAAAGACACGATCCACAAACGTCGTCTCTGTAACCACACCGTTGATGGTGTCCGGCACTGCCGCAAGATGAGCCATTTTGCTCGAACGGTCGACAAAGACCACCACACCCGTGTTGTCTGCCGAGTCCTTTGGCAGACCAAACACAAAGTCAATACTACAAAGCATGACTAAGCTGGAATCATCAAGTTAATTAGTATAAGGAATCCCTTCGCCGAGAGCGGAGCTACTCCGTGGGAATGTCACGGGGACGCAAGTAAAAACATACTATTTATAAAAGATGGTCGAAGTCTGTCAAGGCAGGAAAATGTCGTGTAGAGATGGACCCAGAATCATGAAGATCTTAGTTGATAATAGTTTTATGATTGGCCAAATGGTAGTTATGCATCGGGTGAACATACCGACCTACAATTTGCTGAACCTGAAAATGAGATCTGTTCCGCCAATCAAACTCAGCTGACAAAGAACAACACGACCGACTCAATCTTGATGAGTGGGAGCATATCGCTCTAGCATTTTAGACGCTTTACTTATGTGTTTTATGTGATATATCCCGCCACAGCATTAAATTGTTCTGGATATGAGTCTTGAATATTTTGTTGTGGACATATCTTAAATAGTGTCCGGTGCCTAAAACAAAGCCTGGCAGAATATTGCTATCAGACGCAGATCTTGATACGAGTTGATCACCACAGGTGCAGCGGGGCTGCCGTAGCTTTGCGCTTAGAGGAAGCGTAAGTTAGGTCACCGACC